CGAGAGCTATAGCTTCTTTTGCCAAGGAAAACTTTGGATTACACCTCGTCAGAGATCTTGTGGTAATTATGGAAGATGATAATATTGTCATTAATTTAGTTTTATATGCATAAAGATGAGAAAGGTAAACTTTTATATTGCACTAGCATAATTACTACTATTGCATCTTAAGCCAGTCCCGATTTGGTGATGATATTTTCTAGACTTAATTTTGATCATCTTATTATGTATTGGTTAGTGTTTATCTCTGCTTTCTTCAAATTCATGAGATTTTGGACTAAAATTACTTCCCAAAAATATTATATTTTAAATCATGCAATAATGTCACTTTTGCATAAACATGTAATAAATTATAAATCAAATTAGATCATTTTTAAGTACGATTGTTCTTACATAAAAGCAACTCATCTTAAGAAATGGTGCAAGAAACCAAATATATGAGTTATATGCAGGCTATATATTCTGTTAGATGTACAATTGTTAATGTGATTTAGCACAACATGCATTTTGATTGAGAAACAATGCTAAGTTCTCCTTTTTCCGATAAAATTAAAAAAAATGTTCAGGAGCAATTTTTCCTGCAGAACATAAGAGCATTAATTGTACTACCAGTATATGATTTTTAAATTATTCTTGTACTTTCAACTAACATATTGAGTGCAGGTATAAGAGATTGCCACGTTATAGACTTACAATTTACACATGTATTTTCTAAAGTGAATGTAATATATCTCGAATTTGCTCCTGGAATAGCAATATTTTAAAAGAGGTTTTAAGACGGTGGGTTCAAGTCCCAGTGCACCATAAGGGTAAGACATCGGGTTCAAGTCCTGATGCACTATGATGATAAGAGTTGAATTTGAGTTCCAAATCATTATGGCCTAGCATGTTTTTATATGGGTAAGGCATTGGGTTTGAGTCCCACTGCACCATATTGATGATCTAATGATGACTAATGAAAAATAATGTAATTTTTCATGAAAAAGCATGAAGCTTGTCTCACTTGATTTGCTCCATTCTTGAAGTGAATGTGATAGCGGTGCATAATAAATCTAAATGAAGACAAGTGGTTGACTTATGAACGTGGGCGTGCAAAAGACCAAAATAATAATAGTCATCATTATGGTAATTATAAAAAGGAGAACAATAAGGGTTCTCAAAATAATCCTTCAAAGGTGAAGGAATTGCGTATCAATATGGTATGTAAATATGAGGCACGCTCAGACGATTATAGTCTATTTTTTGAAAGAATGCGACTTGTGATAAGCATTGTAAATGCAGACTCATTCCTGAAGTGAGTGTGGAAATATATATGTGATACAAATTATGCACAAGAATGTATTTATGCATGGTTGAATAAATACTACAACTCACCTCTACGGGAGGTTTAAGAGAAATAAAGATCATGAACATTACTATGTGGTTACACAAATATGTCATTGGTCGTGTACATGTGGTACGCCGAAAATATTTTGCCATGCCTTAAAAAGTTATTAAAGGCAAACTTAAAGCAAGAAAAGATTTTGCTTATGGTGATTTTGACCATGACAATTATTATGATAAGATAATTTTCTCCGTGGAGGAAAAATTCACCACTTGGATGGTGTTATAAAAGATCTTGTAGTGCAAAATTATTGAGAGCTCCAGAAGAGCGAATTTGTTACTACCCGAATAAATAAAATTATTCATGGCATTGGTGGTAGTAAGTCTCAAAAGAAACTTTTTGAGTTTCAAATATATTAGCCAAAGTGGTTGGCATTTGAGACTATAGATGAAAGGAAGATTTAATATCTTCATATTACTATAATCACACTGGGTAAAATAAAACGTTACCCGATTTTTCTTCTATTTGTACTACCAAATATAAGCATGATGATGGAATTGCATGCCATAGTAAATTAGATGTTTATTGAAACAATATCAGTTGGCATGATCAGTTGGCCATCCCGGTTCAATTATGATGCGAAAAATGATTGAGAATTCACATTGGCATAAATTGAAGAATAAGGAGATTCTTTGAGAATTCTCATGTACGACTTGTTCTCATGATAAATTGATTACTATACCAGCCGGGGTTGGGATTGTATTCTCTGCTTTTTGGAACGTATAAAAGGTGATATATATATGGGCTCAGTCACCTGCTATGTGGACCATTTACTATTATATGATTTTAATAGATGCATCTATTGTATGGTCACATGTGCGTTGGTTATCAACTTGCAATTTTGCAAGGTTGCTTGCTCAAATTATTAGAGCACAATTTCAAAATGTAAATTGTGATGATAATGCTGGTTTAAATCCAAGCTGGTTTAGTAGAAATTGTTCGCCTCCAATTATAGCTAAACCATTGGTTATGAGAACGAAACTCCAAATAGAAATTTTGTATGAAGTGTATTATTTAATATATAACAGCACTTGTACGCATCTAGTCAACAAGTTATGATACACTCTCCCCATCACAATTGGTTTAGGGTCAGGAACCAAATATTTTCATCTAGAAATATGGATGTACTATATGATTTAATTGTGCCACCACAATGCACAAAGATTGGTCCCCAAAGAAGGTTGGGGATATGTGTTGGTGATCCCAACATTAGGGGGAGACAATGAGCAGCTAAAAAAAGTAATACATGGAATGAATTATTATGAGTACACTTAGAACCTCGTACAAGAAAATATGAACTTGAAGTTCAAGTTATAATTCATTTGCAAAATATTTCTATGCGCATTTGCTGACCCAAAAAAATATCATATTTCAACTACTAATGCTCCAAATAGAATAAAGTCCATGATAGACATAGTCTATGGAACGCATGAAGCGTAATAGAATAATCGGTTCCAAAGATAAAACTCCTTGAAGAAGGACAGGAGCAAATGTTCAAGATGGTCATAATAAGGAGGCAAGTGCTATATAAGAGCACCATGACATAACACTTCATAAGACCTCATGGGAGAGGATCAGGTACCTGAAAATAATGAGGTCTCGATAAGTTATGTCTTTATTGAGTGATGATGGAACTGATGTAAAATGATCGTCGACGATATTGTTGATATAATGTAGCGTTCAGTATTATCAATATTGACGAGGATCTTGAGCTCAAATGTGTCATGAAATTTGAACAGATAAATGATTGGCCAAATGAAAAATAAGCAATGAAATTGACTTCACCTGAAAAATGTGAAGTTGGACGGATAGTCCCCACACCTGAATGTGAAATGAAAAATCAAGTCGATAGACATAAAGACAACTTGTGGCACAAAATTTTCGTAAATATCCCGGTATTAGTTATATGGAGACATGTTCTCCTGTGGGGAATGGAGTCATTTCAGATTTTGGTCTAACAATGCATTTGATATGCATATAATGAAAATCCTTGAATGATTTAAATTGTTCTGAAGCATATTAAGGTTCCCAAGAAATATATTAAATAAATCTTCGGCAAATCGTTATGTAGATTAGAGCGATCATGGCGTACATGATTTGTTTTTGTCTCTAGTGCAATTGGTGCACTAATATATCTGGCTAGAACCATGAGTATTACAATACGCTAGCGAGATATAGTTTTATTCCTATGTGGAGATATTGGAATACAATTAGTGTTATATTTCAAAAGGAATACTTGATGTAGATTTGTTTATTCTAACAAATATTGCCAAGATTTTGTTGGTTATTCAAACGCAGGCATTTTCTTGAAGTTTGTTCTTCAAACAATCTATTTGCATGTGAGAGTACTGCCATATTATCATTTTACAAGTCAGTTAATTGTTGATACTTATTCAAGTCATGCCAAGATAAGCAACCGATAAAGCAAGGGGCTCAACACACAACAGACTTGTGACTTGACTTTGAAGAGAAGATTCCAATAATACTGAAGATAATGTTGTTTGCTTATATCAATTGAAAGAAGGACTATCGAAGGAGACAAAAATAAAGCACATTCACCAAAGTTCTTCAACAAATTTGTTCAAGTGATAATTTGACAAACTTCTTCACAAGACATTGCGGATCTCAATATTAGAGTAGTTGTTATACAAGCTTGGAATTCGTCGTCTCCGAAGAATAAAGTGATGTTTTCATCAGGGGGAGGCAAATACGTGCTGTATTCCTTTTCCCTTAGCTAAGATTTTATCCCACTGGGTTTTTCTGGCAAGGTTTTTAATGAGGCAGCAAATAATGCGTATTACAAGATATGTGTACTCTTTTTCCTTCACTAAGATTTTTTCCCACAGGGTTTTTTCTTAGTAAGGTTTTAACGAGGCACATTATCTATAGACATCCAAGTGGGAGTGTTATGAAATATTATATTTTGTAGTGGATGTCTATAACTCTTAAAGAAGTTACTCCCACTACTCTTCTCCATTATGTAGATAACTCCCACTACTTCTCACCATTATAGTTGTAACTCCCACACCTCCATAACCTCCCCATGATCTCAAATGTTTAATGTCATGTTTATGGCATTCTTTTGTATGCCTCTATGTAATCCTATAAATAGATGGTTTTGGCACCACATTGTACATACTTGAATATATGGAAGAAATAAGAATCTCTTCTCTCTTGCTCCCTACATTCTTGTTTTATATTATTATTTTGAGCTAAGTTTCGTAACAACAAATGATTATAACATCGGTTAACTTTTTCCATTTATTATCCATATGTGGAGATGCCTATTTTGTCCTTGTGTAAAAAAAATTCTAAAAGGTGTTATACTTTAGCCTCATATTTATAGTTAGGTCTTAAAGGCTTTAATTGATCTTTCAAATGTATTTAAGTATCAAATTAGAAAGAAAGTTTAACAGACAAGTCGTGCCAGCTATTAAAGTCTCTTTCGAATACGAACTTCAAATGTATCTTTACAGACAGCTATAAAAGTGTCTGTCAAATGTTCATCAATGTTTACTTGGTAAACTATTTTTACTATATTATTTTTTGAAAATCAAGCAGTTCTAAGATCATAGAACTTTATATATCTGTCTTATGTGCTTGTCTACAGTCGAGCGAAAAAGAAACGGCTGGAGATCATAACCACTGGAAATTATCCCCAAGTAGCAGTTTTGTCAACATATCGAAATCTCAACCAACCAGAAGGGCTATACAACATCTATTTGTATCTATACCTTACATCACAACTTCCAAAATCCAATGTGCGAAGGTTTTGAAAACGTTAAGTTGTTAATATCCTCGTTTGTCAATTTGACAGGACCACATTAGGTAACGCCTAGACCCAGTGACTAATTGAAAATATTTCATGGTAACTACAGAGCAGCAACATTTGATTTCCAAATTCGATCAGTACAAAGTTAACCACGGCTCTTCTTCGAATATGATTGCTCGGAAAGATACCTGCATCACATTCAAAATTTCAGGGTTAAGCAATAACATTAACAAAACGGAAACATGAAGCTGTTGCTGTCTTCTAATGATTGTTAACCCAATCCTGCTACGAGTAGTGACGAGTACACTTAAATTACTCATTCCAAATTAGCAGTATAAAGATATAGTATTGCAAACCTTCAAAACAATATAAACTTTCGTCTACCTTTGACCTCCACCTGAAATTCTTACATTGGTGTGTTTAAAGGTTCCTTCAAGTGAACACTTTTTTTTTTCCTTTTCTACAATGGTAGTGTTTCCACCACAGGTACCGGGTTACTTAGACAGTAGAGTTAAGGTTAGGTAGATGGAAAGAAATCACCGTCTTCTATGCCTCTGCTAGCATGCAAGCGCATTCTTCATGCATTAGACTACACTGAAGGGGGCGATATGGATCCTTTTCCAACTTCAACCAGAAAATTTAGGTTTTGAAGCAAATATTCTGCATGGTATCACTCTGACACAGCTTGTTTACAAGTTTTTTCGTTAAGTTACCACATTACTAAGCACCAGTTCTCACAGAAAGCAATACTGGAGAAAATCAGATCATTATTTGTCGCACTTACTTTCCAGTGTAAAGACCTGCAGAATACCATGCATTCAGCACTTCAGTTAAATCCGTCTCCAAACCAGCAGCTTTCTCTGCAGTAACAGGATTCATCTCTATTTGTTTTCCTGAAATCAGAAAAAGTTACAAGAAAGCTTGTGAAGGAATAGGAGGACATTTGAGAGGTTGAAACTTCTCTCTCACATTGTATGGGACTTTTGTTGTTTTCTAAATTTCTGTAGCACATTTGAGATCCTCATTGTATTATATGATGCTGGTGCTCTTAGCAGTAATCATATTTTTGCCTCATCTCTATCTTATATATGGGGTGTTTTCCATTTTCTTTTGTGGTCATTAATAACCATTTTACTTACTCAAATAAAATAGAGCTTGTTGAATAGGTAGATGTCATACTCATAATTCCTATGCAAATGATCAAGGTGATTTTCAAATTAAACAAGTGCAAAGTGTAAGCAAATAAGAGATCTATCACGCCAGCTAATTACAGCCCAAAACATCAAACTTCTGATTTATTTAAATAGCCCAGAACAGCAACCGAGCAAGAGAATAACTATATTTCTTTAAGAGTTTTTCCCCTGAGCTGTTATATAGAGCACACTTTCATTTATGTAATTATGTCTTCAACACATGGTAGTCACTTCCAAAGTAAAAAAAAGTAAAATCTAGAGCAAATGAAGCTTAATCAAACTTGTAAGGAGCTTGAATCCGATTCGTCATTTGATGTTGAGCTTAGTTTGAGCTTGAGGATGCAGCCTGCATTTTGATAGGCCAGCTCCTATAAAAGCCAATCCAAATCTAAACATCTGAAGCTCAGCTTGGCCAGCTCATTTAGAACTCTATTCGTGACTAGCTTTAGATTTTGGATAGGTAAAGGCAGGCATGTGGAATAAGGAGGCTTTGGTTACTACTAATAAGGGGGCAAACCACATTAGTTGGAAGTGGAAGATAGCATATATAACCATAGTAAAATAACTCAACAATATCTCCTCCCAAATAAATGTTGGCACAGCAATCAAATGTCATCTTTTGTCTAACTCACATTCTCACAATTTCTTTTGTTCTCTCCCAAAGCAAGTCATCAGCACGCAGGCCCAACTAAAAGGGCGAGGACAGGTGGTATTCAGTATAGCAGGACCTAACATCATTTGACTCACGATTGCCCTGCTACCTTCAGATACTGAGATATTGACTTCTACTTGAAGAAGATTTTTCATTGCAAACTTCCTAAGGCAAAAACTGTTACTATGTAATAAACAACCAATCGAGTCAAACCTTGCTCCTACACCCCCTCTTTTCCCCACTATCTCTTCTTCTTGTTTGTATTCCAGTTCATCTCATTATGTTATAGAAAATGCAAGGATCTTCCAGTCACTACCACATCACACCCTAGACATAAAAAGAAACAGACATGCATTCAAGTATCTAGTCAGCTACTCACCTTCATTTGCAAATGAATCCAGTGAAGCCGTGTTAGAAGCTTGCTTTAAAGAGGATAGTACTTTTTCTGCTGCTTCCTTTGCTATATTAACCAAATTAGAATTTTGAAGAGATGAGTTATTTTGTTGAACACCTTGTACGGAAGCATCACATGGTTTGTCATCCTGATTTCCACCCAAACAACAAGGTGATGCGGTGCATGGAGACACCCAACTTTGGCATCCATATGGGCAGTAGAAAGAAGATTCTATTGGATGTGAACTCTGTGCTGCATAAGCTTGATGTTCTTGTGAAGTAGAAGCAGAATCTCGATAACTCCACATGCCAAACTGGTTAAGCTGCTGCAAAATCTTTTGCCTTTGATCCTCAAGTTTGTAATATGTATTGAGCAACTGGTTGTAATCTTCTACACTCTGTGAACAGATGCCCTCTATAGCCGTATCCTGGATGTTTTGCGCATTCACTTGGCTTTCAGGGGGAACTGCCTCAGAAGAGGAATTTTCTTTTACTGATGGCAGGTAGCTTGCATCTCCCATTTCTATAGTGGTATCTGGTGCAACTTTGCTGTTATCATCTCCCTCCCCATTGCTTCATCCACACATGTAGAGAATGTCAGTCTCCAGACCATTAAAATGGCCATTTTCTTGATGTAACTTGAAAAGTCTTATCAAAAGAAGTAGCTCTGTATATTTATCCAGGTTGGCACAGGAAAGCAAACAAAAAGAAACAAAGAGGCTACAGAGGCGAACGATAAAGTTAAACAATAAAGTAACAGATAGAGGAAGTTGTGGCATATGAAGCAACTTATTACAACAAGAAATCATCAGAAAGATCGACACCTGACCTATAAGTGTACTAATCAATCCATGTAAGAACTTTAACCAGCAGAGTAAAAGGTACTTCATGTAGCTCTAAGGTGACATCCCAGCAAAAAGTATTAACTCCTAGCAGATATCTCAAGATGTATCAATTCTAAAATAATTACAAAATAGTAAGAGTTAAAAAACAACAATTTTTTGAAATTGGCTAGATATGTCCAAGTCCTCGCAGCTGGTAGCATTTCCTTTATATTAATATTTTCACACTAAAAGAGCTCGGAGAAGAGATAAAAAGAAATATCACTAAATTTGAGTCATGAATACACCTTTTAAGCTCATCTAATATCACTCATTTCAAATCATGAATGCACCTTTTAAGAGTTAGAAAACAACAAGCTTTTCCAATTGGCTAGATATGTCCAAGTCTTCATAGCTGATAGCATTTCCTTTATAATAATTTTCAATCACTAAACCAGCTTGAAGAAGAAATAGAAAGAGATACTACTCAATTCGAATCATGAATGGACCTTTTAAGCTCATTGCTTCCGTCGTCAAGAGCTGCCAAATTCTCCTCTTTGCTGCTAAGTTTAGCTCCTTTACTATGCATAATCTGGAAATTAAAAGGAAAAATTCAAGAGAATTACGTAAAACTTTCTTAATAAGAAAAAAGGACCAAGAGACGAAAACAACAAGTAATCAAGTATCGTGTTTGCCTCTAGGCTCTGCGCAATAGCAGCTGGTTTAAATTTGACCTTCTCTTTGTGGAAAGGGTAGGGATGAGGATTAAATTGGAAAGATTGAGAGAAAAGCATGTTTTATGGAAGCTAGGATGTTAGGAGGATTCAAAAGATTATGGTCTAAGAAAAACAGTAATGAAGTCAAAAGGATGATGATCATGAAGGAGAAGGAACTGAAGAAAGGGGAGCTCAGATACTTTATTCAACTGCGGTGTCCAGCATGCCAAAGATAAAACATACTAAAGTCGTGCTCAACAAGATTTTAACCAAGAATGACAGAAAAGAAATTAGTAGACCAACTTTGCATGTGAAAAAAGCCTGCAAAACAGAAGATGAACCCAAGAAACTTTTACTTACGCCCAGATAAAGACAAAAGCACAGAACATCCTCAGCCGCAGGACATACATAGGATGAACTATAAACTTGATAGTTCTTTTATATATATAATGGTGGTGTGAGCCAGCTTGCACGTACATTCACTATTTCAGAGGGTAACCTGCTATCTTCCACCAACACAGATATCAAGTAATTCCGCCCACCAATGCTTAGGCAAATAGGGAAGAAATCACCTAAAGACTTTTGTATTTGTAGGGATTTGGACCTTGGTCTCCAAGGTTTTCTTCATCCACTTCATTGAAAGTTTCTTTTGAACGGGACAATTTGTCGGAGTAGGTTCCCTATTCCCTATAATTTACTTTAAAGAACTTTACCACTAAACACTGCTCTCTTGTAAATATATTGTAGGAATTACTTTCTCCACTTTGGCTACAGAAAGATGCACTTTTTCCCTCATCATACCTCCTTTCTTCTTTTCCATACTCCGGCACCACACAATTCTCTAGGCTACTCCAACAACACAATATAACGGAAGCCGCATTGCTTCTATTTTTTTCTATCCCTCATATATCACCAGCTGACCACTTGAGATAGACAATTTCAGAAACATAGGCAGCAAAAAGAGCACCATAAATCATCTCATTGACACAAAGTCAAATAAATATTAGTACGATTGAAGTTAGACATGACGGCCATGATGGGTGCTCATGCAAATATCATTTTCTTGTATCCAACTTAATGCTTCCAATCACTTCAAAATATTCAACTGCATAGAAGTTTGTGCAAGACTAAAAGTCAACACCAAAAATTTGACAAAGCCTAACCTAAATAAATTAACCACATCGCGAACATAAACCTAACTCAAAAAATCCTAGGAGATTTCTTCTCATCTGCCTATTACTTCGCAAATGTTAGTTTTACTAGGTGAAATAGTCGAGGCGCACACAAGATTGCTTATGAACCAAATGGCATTCTTTTAAACCTCCTTCAGTATAATTCTCGTAACCAGAGAAAAGGAAATATTAGGCTTTTCAAAAATACTTGTGATAAGTGAAGTGAATCATATATAGACCATTTGGGCTTCATTTACCAAAGTTATAGCAATAAATTCTAATATTGTGGTCAAGTAGAGAAAGGAGATGAATGATTAGATTAATAATACACCTAAAAAGGAGAGTAATGTGAAGAGTTCAGGTTCAGGTTCAGAAAATTAAATTAAACTGCGTTAAAAGCAAAGATTGAAAAAGAGGGTAGGGTATGAAATTCATGGATAACCTTGTACTTGGAAACGGCATCGTTGAAGGCGTTGATGAGGGCAGAATCATCCCATAGATCTTCTCCTTTCCCCATTAAAGTTGCAGCAAAAGAGGGTTTAAGCTCCAAAGGGTTTAACTTTGTTCTAACAAACTGGAATTAAAGGTATTTAACGGGTGGGCCGGCCGGGCCGGGCCGGGCATATATTTTTTGGACCCGTACGGGTTACGGTCCGGGCCGGTTACGGGTTGGGTCTTAACGGGTTTAACGGGTTCGGGTTCATCCAGCTAAAAATTGAACCATAAGGGTTACGGGTTGAGGGGGCCGGGCCGGGCCGGGTTTAGTATAATTTTAATTTTTTTTTTTTTGGATTTTGTATAAATATTGTAAGTTATAGTATTAATACAAAGTACTAACATAAAGAATACAAGGAAGATGGAAAAAAATTGCACTTATAAATTGCAAGTGCTATATTTATTTCAAAATTACAAAATTAAAGTTTGCATTTAAAAAGTAAATTAACAAATAAATAGTAAACTAAATTTTCATGCATAATAAATTAATAATACTTCAATAAGTTCAAATTAATCTGACGAACTAAATCATTAAGCATAAATACGTCTAATAATTTAAAATAACACAAATTGTCTTAAAATCTTAAAATAACACATATATAGCATATTTTAAAAATAATACGTTACCATCATATTCTATGATTTGAGCATTTATAGTTTACACCCTAAATATATACACTATATGTTAAATTCCAACAATTTTAAATTATGTTAATTAGTATACAATAATTGGTATATTCATGGTATATTCATGGTATATTTATAGTATATTCATGATATATTTATGGTATATTCACGGTATATTCATGTTATATTCACGTTCCGGGCCGGGTTGGGGTGGGTTTGGACGGTTTAAATTTTTGAAACGGGTTACCCGGCCCGGTAAAACCCGTTAGATGAACAGTGCCATTAATGCTGACATGTATTATTACGTGGCAATTTATTTGAGGGTCCTGGGTGCCACAGTGCAAAACGTTAGGGTTAGGGATATTTTTGCTTACTTTGTTAACGGTAGGGTGGGGATTGAACGTATAGTATAACGAGGGAGAAACGTGCTTAAATGCCAATAGTACAGGGGCAATAATAGCCTTTTTCCCTAACTAATATGTTGGATTCACCCTTGATAAAATATGTTTTAAAACTCAATCACTTTAGAATAATGTAAGCAGTTTATGTATATTTTTTATTTTCTATAAGTTAAATAATGATGTTGGGTGTACAAGTGTGAAGCACGTGTCCGAAAACTAGTTTGTACATAAATATTGAGCACAATGATTGCTAATTGTTTCATGAACTTTCTTCAGGAATAAATTTTGCATTTAAGGTAAGTATTTTACCTTATTTTTCTTTTTTAAATTCTTAAAATTCTATAATTTGATTTTAAATACAAGCAAAGATAATAAATTTTGATTATAACTCTAATGGAGTTTGCAAGAAAGTATAAACACCCGAAGTGGTAAAATTTTTGTATCTTGCCATGATCAAATTCATGTGATTATGAGCACAAGAAATGAACTCATCCCATTGAATTTGCTTCGTTCTCGTTCCCTTAAGAGAACGTGGCAGCAATATGTGATAAGTCTGAAAGAAGACAAAATTATTACCGTGAAGGTACCAATATATATGGACGTGGAAATAGACGAAATTATAATCGTCATCATTGTGGTAATGAGAACAATAAGGATTCTCAAAATAACCCTTCACTCCGTGAAAGTAATGTTTGTCATCAATTTGACATGAGATTTTGTAAAGCACATATAGATGATTATGATCCATTCATAATGTGAATGGGACAACATGTGATTTATGAATACATATTCATTCTTGGAGGCATGTTAACGTGCTAATGGTATTAAATATACCACACTCACCTCTAGAAGGAGGTTTGAGATGAAATAAGAAAATAATTTTATTATTATGGCATGAATGGTCATTAATCACATACCTATTGTGATTATGCCAAAATATTATGGCAATATGATTATTACATGAAAAAAGTAATGGAAGCAACATATCTTGCCTATAATGATTTTGACCATGATCATAATGGTATAAATTTCTCTTTGAAAGATATATTTACCATATGGATGTTGGTGATTATGCGTTAGTACAAAATTAATTGAGAGCTTTGGAAGAGCCAATTATTACTATTTTGGAGAAATAAAATTGATTATCAATAATGTATTGTGTCGTAGTAAGTCTCAAAGAAACTTATTTAGTTTTTAAAGCATTAACGAAAGGAGTTGGTTGCATTGAGATTATAAGTAAAGGAAAAATTTAATATCTTCTATTACTTCAACTTGTAGCGGGGTAATATGTATGTGAAAAGCTACCCGCTTTATTCTCTAATTTGTACTACACATATAAAAGAATGCCACAATAAAGCAAAAGTTTATTGATATAAAAACCTATATCATAGTAAACTTGGAGTTTATTGATAATTGCACGCATCATGGGGTAAATATGAAGTTTATCAATATTGCTCCATGTTTGGGTGTATCCCGTGATTCCTTGAGTTTTCCTGTCTATGTGTCCACACCCGTGGGAGATTCCGTTATTGTTGACCGTGTGTATCGGTCACGTTTAGTTGTTCTTAGTGGTTTTGAGACTAGAGCCGAACTATTGCTCCTCAGTATGGTAGATTTTGATGTTCTTTTGGGCATGGACTGGTTGTCGCCCTATCATGCTATTCTTGACTGTCATGCCAAGACTGTAACGCTGGCTATGCCAGGTTTACCACGGTTAGAGGGGATAGGTACTTTAGATTATGTTCCTAGCAGGGTTATCTCATTTCTAAAGACTCAGCGGATGGTTGAGAAGGGATGTGATGCGCTAGCATATGTGAGAGATGTCAGTGTTGATACTCCTACCGTTGAGTCAATCCCAAGCAGTGAGGGATTATCCAGATGTATTCCTGGCGGATCTTCCGAGCATTTCCGCCCAACAGGGATATCGATTTTGGTATTGGTTTGTTACCGGGAACTCAACCCATTTCTATTCCTCTATATCGTATGGCCCTACCAGAGTTGAAGGAGTTAAAGGAGCAGTTGCAGGAGTTGCTTGTCATTCGGCCCAGTGTATCACTTTGGGGTGCTCTGGTCTTGTTTGTAAAGAAGAAGGATGGTTCTATGCGCAGGTGTATTGATTATCGCCAGTTGAACAAGGCTACAGTGAAGAACATGTATCCATTGTCGCGCATTGATGACCTATTTGATCAGCTACAGGGTGCCAGAGTGTTTTCAAAGATTGACTTGCGTTCAGGCTATCATCAGTTGAAGATTCGGGAGCCAGATATCCCGAAGACTGCCTTCAGGACTAAGTATGGTCATTACGAGTTCATTGTGATGTCTTTTGGACTGACCAACGCCCCAACAACATTCATGCACTTGATGAACATTGTATTCCGGAACTATCTTGACTCGTTCTTCATTGTGTTTATTGACGACATTTTGGTACACTCCTAGAGCCGGGAGGATCATGAGCAGCACCTGAGGACCGTGCTCCGGACCTTGAGAGAAAAGAAGTTATATGCAAAATTTTCGAAGTGTGAATTCTGGCTTGATTCGGTGGCATTTTTGGGTCATGTAGTGTCGAGTGAGGGGATCAAGGTAGATCCGAAGAAGATTGAAGTAGTGCAATTTTGGCCCAGACCGTCTTCAGCTACTGAGATCCAAAATTTTCTTGGGTTGGCAGGGTATTACCGTCGATTCGTAGAGGGTTTCTCATCTATTGCTACACCCATGAACAAATTGACCCAGAAGGGTGCTCCGTTCAGGTGGACTGAGGAGTGTGAGGAGAGCTTTCAAAAGCTCAAGAGCTTTGAGTACAACACCAGTGTTGGTGTTACCTTCGGGTTCAGGGTCTTATACTGTGTACTGTGATGTGTCGCGTATTGCTCTCAGCGTGGTGTTGATGCAGGATGGTAGGATGATTGCCCACGCGTCTAGACAACTGAAGGTGCATGAGAAGAACTATTATGTCCACGACCTTGAGTTAGCAGCTATTGTTCATGCCTTGAAGATTTGGTGTCACTATTTGCACAATGTCCCTTGTAAGGTCTACACCGATCACCGGAGTCTGTAGGATCTGTTCAAACAGAAGGATCTTAACTTGCAATGGCGGAGGTGGTCATAGTTGCTTAAGGACTATTATATCACCATCTTGTATCATTTTGGGAAGGCCAATGTGGTGGCCTATGCCTTGAGTCGCAAGCGGAGAGCTTGGGTAGTTTAGCATATCTACCGGCAGCAGAGAGGCCATTAGCCTTGGTTGTTCAGGCTTGGCCAACCGGTTTGTTAAATTGGATGTTTCTGAGCCGAGATGAGTTTTGGCTTGTGTGTTCTCTCAGTCTTCACTATATCGCATCAGAGAGCACCAGTATGGCAACCCCCATCTGCTTGTCTCCAAGGACACGGTTCAGCACGACGATGGCAAAGAGGTCACTTTTGGAGATGACGATGTATTACGGATGTAGGGCGGGCTATGTGTGCCCAATATGGTGAGTTCATTCTCTAGGAAGCTTACAGTTCGCGGATCCATTCATCCGGGTGCCGCCAAGATGTATCAGGACTTGAGGCAACACCATTGGTGAAGGTGGATGAAGAAAGACATAGTGGAATATGTATCTCGGTGCCTAAGCTATCAGCAGGTGAAGTATGAGCATCAACGACCAGGTGGATTGCTTTAGCGGTTTGAGATTCCAGAGTGGAAATGGGAGTGGATCACTATGGATTTTGTTGTTGGAATTCCACAGACTTGGAGGAAGTTCGATGCAGTATGGGTAATTGTGGATAGATTGACCAAGTCAGCTCATTTCATTCCAGTGGTGACTACTTATTCTTCAAAGAAGCTAGCTCAGGTCTTTATTCACGAGATTGTCAGGATTCATGGCGTGTCGGTATCTATCATCTCTGATCAGGGTAAGCAGTTTACGTCGCAGTTCTGGAGACCCGTTTACCATGAGTTAGGCATACGGGTGGAGTTGAGTACATCATTTCACCCTCAGACAGACGGATAGTCCAAGCACACTATTCATAAATTAAATGCATATGTGATGGAGTTCGGGGGTT